ACTACTGGAATAACGAAATAATTGCAGTTGTAGTTGGAATAAACAAACCAATATTTCAATATTTTAGACAGGCACAAAACCTAATAGGGGAAGGTGTCTGCATGCCTCAGTATAAGATTGATGTATTATATCCCATATCATTATGCAACATGAGGTCTGCATGTTATAGCTCAAAACAAAACAATTACCCCAAATAACATCCTGTGTCCCAGACATGTGATCATTTGAATAAACTTGTCCAAGCCCTTTCCAGAAATTCCTGGGTCCACTTCCAGATAATAACATCATGCAATTGTGTAATAGAGAACAAGAAATAGCTGCTGAGTAGACAGCTAAAGTTCAGACAGTCAGAATTAATTTAAGATATTTCATCTGCATTAGACAGGTTGAAATGAAGAACACAAGACTTCTGAAAACTGGCTTTTTATTGAACTGAAAACAGTGATTCTACAAAGGCAACAAGCTACACATTTCTATATGATTTCACTTTTGGTTGATCATTTTAGAATCTAGAGTTCTGCACCTACAATGCGCTGAAACCTATTTTTCAGAATGTGTCCATCTGTAATTACCTATCCAAGGGGAAGCCATGGGCAGCTGTCGTTTGGGCAGCCCCAGGCACAATCTCACCATTGTGCATGACGTGCAGCTGGCATGGTGTTGGAATGCCTCCACACAATGAATCAATCAAAGCCCCTCCTAAGTGGACCAGACCTGGGCAGTGATACGGGCAGATCCATGGCAGCTGTAACATGGCTCCTCAGTGCCATAATCCTTTTACAAGGCTGTAATTTCACTTTGGGCCTGACTGTTTGGAACCAAGTTGATCACACTAAACCCACCCCTTTGTAATTCAAGGCTTTTAAAACTTCGGTAGCAAAATCAGGTTGCATGATGTGTCATATTTACAGTCTAGACGTGTTAAACAAGGTGTTCAAAGGGTTCCAGTAAAATTCTATATGGGACGGGCTTTATATACTACAAAATAGCAAGTTCCACCAGTCTATCCTTGGCCCTATCACCTGGACCTCAGTTACAGTAGGATTAGGTCAGTCATGCCCATATGAACCTCAGATGAAGGCTATTTTGTTCTCCAAGCCAGGCAAGCTGCCCAAGAGCACATTCTTATTTATTGACAGCATTGAGCTGGAAGTAGCACTTGCAAGACGAAGGACTTTTCTTTGTATCAAACACGAATTCCTACCTAAGAACTTCCCAATTCGACCACAATCTTAAACAGTTCAGGTTGTTAGGCTTATTTAGTGGTTAAATACACTGGCCTTGCACCAGACAAGCTGGGTTTCAGCCTGTGTCTGTATGCTTCTTCCATGCTGACACTAAAACACTGAGATCTCCAGGGATGCTGCTTAGTTACTGTTCTGCAAGTCTTCATGAATGGCTGTCACACAAGCTGCCAACACAACGTATCAGTGCCCAAGTGCACCTCAACCAGACCAACTGGATCTTCTGGTCACATTATCTAACCAATAATACTAGGGTAGGTATTATTTTAGTAAATACATTTTGGGCAGGAGTACATTTGTTTGGGTATGGGTATCCATTTAAAACACGTGTGCCTGGCGCCATCTACTGCTGCAGTTGTGTTATTATATGTGTGACAAATAGTCACATGGATTACTATAACCATAAACAATTAGGATCTTGTGGGGAACATTATCTTCCTTCGGATGCGAGTTATAAGCAGTTTTCCCTTTTTAAGGATTTTAGAGGCCTGGGGAGCTGTGAGTAACAGAAAGTAATTCTATCTATGAGAAAAATATAGATTTCTTCTTTTTTCTTTTCTTTTTTAAAATCATTTTTGACACCTCATTTATATTGACCTGGAACCACTGTGTTAAACAACATATTCACAAGCGGGGTACTGCCCAGGGGTCCCAGAACTCCCTGGTTCACTTTGGTGAATAGGTTGAAATGGTAAGGCCTTTTTCTAACAATATTAACAATGACTCCATTCAAGTGTTCTAGTAAGCCATGGCAGTGTGACAATGAGGCAGCATGAACAATACCAGGACCAGTTATCATTCATTATATTATTTACACCTGTGCTTTGTCATTGTGAAAGAATTTGCACCATTGAAGTACAATATTAATTAAACTGGGTCCTGCTTGTCTAGCCTTGTCTTGTACAGAGTCGCTAGAATGCAGTAATATGACCTTAATTATTTTAGCTTGTGCTCTGCTCACTTGGCGGACATTTCTGTGCTAAAGCAAAGATGCACAAACTTAAGGACACATGCCAAACGCTGGGGCCAGTTTTGTTATTCCATCACAGGCTGGTGTCTAAATTCATGGGCTTATAATGAAGCTGCTGTTTGCGCTGTACTTACTGAAAACTTGGAGACAACAGGTATTCCTACAATACACACAGTGAGAGTGGGAGATGGACACTAACAGCAAACAACAAAAACATTTTCCCCCTAACAGGTTAATCCAGTTATGCACCTAGAAAACACTTAGGTGAACGTCTCATTGGAAAATGTAAGGAATGCTGTGTTAAAAGAAATGTGTGAAAACATGAATACTAACCTGTATTTCACACTGCTGCACTAAACTAGTGATTAATCAGCTCTATGAGCCAGCTCATTTAAATGAGCGATGGGAACTGGTTGCCGTCTAAGAGCTTATTTATTTTCCTTTTTTTGTTTTATGAATTAGGCTAATAAAATAACATTAAGGCTCAAGCATGGTGAGACCTTTGTCTGGTGCACTGGTTGCCAACATACAACAACAGTTAAATACCAATAAAATGGTCAATACGCATATAATAGTGGATATTTTTATATTATTTAAGGTATTTATAGCAAGCATAATGTAAAATTATGGAACTCCGGAAATTAATACGATTTAATAAGGATTAATGTGATTACACTGAATAACATAAGTGATATACCAGTCATAGGGTGAATTATAAAAGCCAGAAGTACTGAATGAAGAGCCGCTGCGGGGCCAAAAGAGCTGGCTGTTATTACTCAGCTGAGTGGAATGATCTGGCTCACTAAAATGAGCTGGAATTCCCATTACTCGAGTAAAAGGTAGTTTTGGTTAAAAAAAAAAAAAACACACAC